TATGGGGGTGGGTGGGGGTGTGGGTGTGGGTGTGGGTGTGGGTGTGGGTGTGGGTGTGGGTGTGGGTGTGGGTGTCGATGTGGGTGTCGGTGTGGGTGTCGGTGTGGGTGTGGGTGTGGGTGTGGGTGTAGGTGTGGGTGTGGGTGTGGGTGTGGGTGTGGGTGTGAGTGGGTGTGGGTGTGGGTGTGAGTGGATGTGTGTGTGTGTGTGGTTGTCCTCTTTCTCTGTATCTACATCCACACCCAACTCACACCCTCACCATCGGATTTCCCTTTGAAGAGTTATCGTGTAAACGGCCGGACACACTGGCCGATTCTATAGTGTACTCACTTTTTGAGTACACAAAAATGTCTCTCGAATAGAATTTCATTCTCAAAATCAAAAGTCCAATGAGAAAGTTTTGGATGCCACGGTCTGACATATGCTCGGACATTTACTGATAATTTGACAAATCCCCAACAGAATCTTTTTAACATCATCTGATTTACTCCACATTTCTCTTTCGAATGGTGAAAATCGCAGATTTGTAGCTGCTTTCATTCTCAAGATATTTAAGAAAAACGAGGTACATTATATGTTCATGTCGATAGTAAAACTTATGTACTAGTATGTATTGCCATAACAACATACATTTACCATTTAAAAACCTAGAATTTCAAAGTTTATCTACTGACGTTTATTGGCATGTAGTTACATGTACATGCCTAATACTTATCGGTATATGCCATTACAAATGATTAAATGTATCCTAGAATTCTAGGTTTTGCGGAGATACATCCTTCTAGCCAAAATAAACTGAACACTTTATTTTTTTTTGTTATTTCTCTTCACTAATGTTGTTTGAGTTAATATTTACAGCACAGATTGATACTCAATTAGTTAACTTATTCTGAGAGACTCACGCCTATCGAGTGAGAACTTGTTGAGAAAATTACAAGTATGTTTCGTGTACTCAAGTGCTACCGAAATCAAAATTTAGTTTTCTACAAGTATTTATTTTTCAGTCATTTTAAATTCCATTTGAAATCTCAGATGATATTTTGTTAACTAGTATATTTAATTACAGAAAGAGACATCTTTGACGATATTCATATATCACATGGTCAATCATAGGACAAGATATAATCCAATGGATACATCGATAAGCATACTTCGATGTTGAGTAATTGATAACAGCTATCATCAGAATGGAGAAACACCGGAAGTGTATTAGTCGTTGTTTCCATTATATTTCACTTATTGTTTTTTATAAATGATGAAAGCACTGTAATATTGCTGTTTATGGGATTCGATATTCGTACGAAGATAGTTGGTCATCCGTCTATTGAATAAAGATGGAGCATTATTACACTGCGTTTGATAATAAATTATTGCTACGACAAATTACAGGTATATTACAATGTTCTGCTACTGCTATTAAACGAATTGTTGATTTATTCGAAGAAGCAAGTAATGCATTAACGAGATAAGGTAGGGACATGCATACACTTATTTATGGTCTAGTTCAGCGACGAATTAGTGAGATATTGTCAAGATATCCTACAAGTACATAATTATCTATTTTTACTCGCTTACAATTTTGCATCAGCAAAATAGTTACTGTTCACACCGTCGGATGAGTTTAAAGAACCAAAAATTACTATCCTCTAGATTCAAAAATTCATTGGAAAATTAGTTAAACAGTAACCATACGTCAATTTCAACATTTTTCTGCACATGAAACCTATATTTGGTAGAATACTATTTTCAGTGACGAGAAGAAATTCGAAATTGATGAATCGGGAGTTATTTTTTGGGCTTCCATTGGTGCTCGCCTCCGAAAGACCTTTGTTGGTCAAGTTAAGTGTTATGCAAATGTATTTGGAGCTCTGTGATACTATGGTACATCTCATTTAGTGTTACATGAGGCAGCAGTAATTCTACAACTTATTCTCAACATATACAGCTGGCAATGAAGTGCACAATGGGCTCATTAAAAATTATATTACATACTTACCCATGGTACTTAGTGCGGGTTTATGCAGTGCACGTCATGCTAGTGCGGGGTTGATGCGCGTTACGTGACATGCACGGCGAGTACACCGCAGCGCACTAAGTGTGACAAATCCTCATAGTGGTTTAGAATCCAACCAATCAGTATGAACTATGAGAAAACCGTTATTTTCTTATAGTCATTGTCTTAAATTCATTATATGTAGTGGATGATGGTTGTTTATTATTTTCGAATATTTTTTGTGGTCATTCAGCGTGTACCAAGAGATACACTGATGTGACATGCTATCATCAGCATATGACATCATCCTTACGTTATTTCACTCTTACTTCATATCATCCTTGTATGATGTCAACTTTGTATCGTTACGTAATACTGTTCATAGTGTTCAATACTTTTTCAATACCTTTGTAATCGCTGCGCTATTCATCGGATATATGCTCATTGTTCTCTTTTCACTCCGAGTGATTACCGCATCAAATAGATGCAAGGATAAATCGTTGAGAAGGAGAGAGAAGAGAAGAGAACAGTCGAGAATATTCTCAGTGGATATAGCGCAGTGTGAAGGATACAACACACTCGAAGTTATACATCTTTGCTGGATGGTATATATAATTGGTGTAGAAGTCATATAGATATATATAATAATGTGTGTGTTAATATTGAGAGAGAAATAAAATTACGTACAACCAGTAACGGAAGTGAGCTTGACGAAATAATAAACAAGGCAACAGTGTCCGACATGGGTCACTTTTTTTGTGACCCGATCCGACCCTATCCGAGCATGGCTTGATCCGACCCAAGGTCGACAGATAATTTTCAGACAATCGAAGCAAAATTTCTATAGAGATTAAGCACCTCTTACTGAATCTATAAATGCTCTTTCAATAATCAGAGTAAAGAAATCATTATCACATGTCAAATTGCTGTTTATTTTATGTGAAATTTGAAATCGATCAATTTTTTGTGACCCGACCCGACTCGACTCGAGCACGTTCTGACCCAACCCGGCCAGACCCGAGTCGGACATTGCAAGGCAACCCCTTCAAATACGTGATCCAACAGCGCGGTCACCAATCTTTCTGTATCGTATCCTTCGCTTATTCTCAATTTTCCGTTATAGTGGCCTTTTTGATAACTAAGTAACCTATTTGTTTTTTCTTCATCGTAGTCTTCGTGAACATATTCGCATATCTTGAATTTTTTCCTTTTTTCAGATTATTTTTTTTAGATTATTTTTTATTCAAGCTAACCGAGCCTTTCTTTGAAAGGATGAGTTGGCTGAGTAAAAAATAGAAAAAATTTTTGAAAATTTTTTTCTTTAGATTTATCTGCTATCAATTATTTTAACCGATATTCTGTATTATCTAAGCCGCACGATTTGTAAATGAATAAAAAAAGATCGATTTTCATCGAACTTGAACATTCTTCCATCCATAATGAATCTCACAATTCATAAAAAGTGTTCGTATAAAAAATATTATAGTCTGTGGCCGGGTGATTCTAAGAAAAATGCACTTTGGTATGCATACTAATTTAATTGAATTAATTTTCCCTAAAAATTCTCTTGTTCTTTCTATTTATTTATATGAAATTCATCTTACCTTTAACATAATCTTTTTTGACATACTCAAAAGGATTGAGGTGAATCTAAACGAACTTTATATAAATAAATAGAAAAAACAAGATTTTTTGGAGAAAATTGATCCAATCAAACTAGTGTGTATATTAAGGTGCATTTTTTCTTAAAGTCACCAGGCTGCAGATCAGTAAGGCGTAAATCTTTCAATTCATTACAACAGAATTAACTCAATTAATGAGTCAGTTAGAAGTCAGGCTAGGCGCATCATCACAGTGATGCACTATGAAGATGCGCTAGTCGCTCGCGTTACATCACACTTGGTGCGCATGATGTGCGCGTGACGCACCGTACGCCGCATCTAAGCGGACGAGCTGACATAGGATTGTTCAGCATAGTATTTCAGGTGATGATTAGGACATTGATGATTGAATGCATTATGTAACCCAGTGTTTTATCTAGAGGAGAGTTTTGGGACATTTTGCCCCTGCCCTTCCCCCCCCCCTCCCGAGAAAAAACAATTTTGAAGAAAATCAATCTAATGTTTAAAAATTTCTTATGAAAATTCTAGAGATATTGTCACTAAATATAAAGCTGTTGACAGGAGACATTTACTATAGTTTTTGAATATAACATATCTATTGCTTCCCATTATTTTCAATTTGATTGAAAATGTTTCTTTTCACATCATTGCTCATAATATCATGAGAATATGCATTTTTTTCTCTAACTTTTCAGTATTCATATGAAGATAACGTCGCATAGGACAGTTTCTATCGAATGAATAATACGGTAGATGTAAATAAGCAAATGTATGTAATTTAATTACGAATTAAACAACATAACATTGTGTATTATGCTTATTAGATTAATCTAATAAGAGTGTTTACCTGAATGTGTTACGTCTGTGTTACATTGATTGACTTCAAAAAAACAGAAATGTTTAAAATAAACACACTTATATATCTTTTTCTCATTTATTCATTCATACTATAACATCGTATTTTTGTACTTTTTTTTCTATCTCGTCTTTCAAATCAAATAGAGATTATAAACTCATCTTAAGAATGTCAAAACAAAATTCTCTTGATAAATATTTTGGGAAAAGAAAAGAAAATAATGATGTCGATAAATTAGCAAATAGGAGTCGTATTGAAAATGAAAATATCATTACTCAATCAAACATTATTGCAAATGACTCCTATGATTTAATCAATAATAGCACAACAACTGATATTCAATCCATTGAAGACAACTCTATTGCAGGTAATGCAGCTGCACTGCTAATTCTAGATTCATCAACAATAAATCTGAATAATCATTAGGTTCGACATCCATCTCCAGCAACATTGGGAAACGTTCTTAGAAGCCATCGTACACACAAAAATTTCCATGGCTTCTTTACGAACCAAATACTGGTGGATTTTGCCAGATATAGGCAACTATTGGAAATCTAGTACACCATTATTCCGGGATATGAAGCAAAAAATAAAAGGTATATTTACTTCAACTCCATTTACCAATTGGAAAAAGGCACTAGGTGATAATGGAAAATTAATGAAACATTCTCGATCACCATATCATCTAATGGCAATTGACAACGACATATTTCGACAACAAGAAGGTTCCGTTCTTAGTCAAATACTTAGGGATATCCAAAAGTAGTGGCGCCATTACCAAATTTCTTTATAGAAAGGTTGAACAAATTTGCTTTCTTTATGAAAAGATAGAGCGTTTTTTGCTCTATTTTTCTATGCTATTTGATCACTATTCAAGTGATATCATAATAATAAAATATCGGTAAAAACTGTTGTTTGTTGAAAACTAGCTGGTGGCATTTGGATCATGATGGGTGTGGCATAAAAGAATAGAGCACTTTTACTTTTCATTTTATTATCATTCAACAGGTTGTATTTAAAAAAACGAAATATACCGTAAGATGCAGCGTGAAAAGCTCTACAATTTATAAAGGACGGCTTATTTTATAGTTGCTCTTTTTATTGTCAAAATGGAAGAAAGTCTGAGCGGCTGAATTTTGACGTTGCAAAAATGGGATTGTTTTTTGGTAAAAGATGCATTCTTTTTTTCTTCTATCACATCTTTTCATAATGGTTCTTTGTAAATTGTAGAGCCTTTCACGCTGCGCCATGTAGTGTATTTTATTTTTTATTAATACAGTAGATCTGGTAATAAAAGGATGTGATAAGAAAAAACGATTTCGTCTGTTACCAAAAAAAGGCATCTCGTCTTCGCAATGTCGAAATTTTGTCGCTCAGAATTTCGTCCATTTTGACAATAAAAAGAGCAACTATAAAATAAGCCGTCCTTTATAAATTGTAGAGCTTTTCACGCTGCATCTTACGGTATATTTCGTTTTTTTTAATACAACCTATTAAATGATAATAAAATGAAATACAAAAATGTTCCACCCATTATGATCGAATGCCACCAGCTAGTTTTCAACAAACAACAGTTTTTACCGATATTTTATTATTATGATATCACTTGAATAGTGATCAAATAGCATAGAAAAATAGAGCGAAAAACGCTCTATTTTTTCATAAAGAAAGAAAATTTGTTCAACCTTTCTATAAAGAAATTTGGTAATGGCACCACTACTTTTGGATACCCCTAAGTAGTTACGGTAAGCGAAACACAAAAGAAAGAGAACAGAAAGCGTTTAAGTGATTTACTTGATTGTTGTTATTTTCTTTTTAAAAACGAATTGCCTCATACAACTCTGTACGATCCATTGCTACAATGGGTTGGTCGTCCTGATCATAGTTCTAAACTCGCCGACTTTTTTCAGAATTGCAAGAGAAATTCTACTTACAATAGTACAATATCGGTAACTGAATTTCTTGAATCTATCAATGAAATTTTAGGAAAGCACATTCTTAATAAAATACAACAGTCGAGATTCATTAGCATCATGTCCTATGAAGGAACTGATATCAATAGACATGGAAATTTATGTATTTGCATCAGATACTGTGATGAAACGACTAGAGTACCATGTGAAAATTACGTAAGTTTATTGAATTTAAAAAATAAAGATGCAGAATCTATTTTTAATTCTATTGTAACGGATTTACAAAAGAAAAACATTGATTTAAACAAAATTGCTTCGTCTCATTTGACGGTGCTGCAGTCTTCAGTGGAATACATAATGGTGTTGCAGCTAGATTCCGTGATGCACTCAATATAGCAATATTATTTATTTATTGTCGAGCTCATTTGTTACAACTAGCTGTAATTTCTGCTGCTGAAGATTCATCTGATATTTCTAGAAGCTTATCTGCACTTAAATCATTAGATAATTTTATCAATAGATCATCGGTAAGATTAAGTTTATTTGAAAATATTCAAGATATTTTTAGAAATCAACATATTAAATTGATCCAACCCGGTGATACAAGTTGGCTGTCGAACTCTTTAGCTATTCGATCTCTTTTACAATCTTATCAATCATTATTAATAACACTTGAAAGTATTTATAATGAAAATAATGAAGATAGTGAGGAAGCGCAAGGTCTCTACAATAATTTATCAAATGAAGGAACTGCATTTATTCTCCATGCACTTCAACCAATATTAGACACTTTAGCAACGTTATCAAAATCTATTCAAACAAAAGCGGCTGATTTCAAGCAATTACAAGGTTTTGTAACATCAACTCTTCTTCGGGTTGAACAACTTAAAGATTACTGTTCTGACGATTACATTGCTATAATAAGATGTCTCTTTCTGTAATTAAATATACTAGTTAACAAAATATCATCTGAGATTTTAAATGGAACTTGAAATGACAGAAAAATAAATACTTGTAGAAAACTAAATTTTGATTTTCGCTGGCACTTGAGTACACGAAACATACTTGTAATTTTCTCAACAAGTTCTCACTCGATAGGAGTGAGTCTCTTAGAATAAGTTAACTAATCGAGTATCAATCTATGCTGTAAATATGAGCCCAAACAATATTAGTGAAGAGAAATAACAAAAACAGTGTTTCGTTGATTTTGGTCAGGAGAACTTATGTGCTTATACCAGTACATGTACGTACTAGCACTTGCCACTACGCATTGCTTCGTACTACTCCATGTACTGCCATCACAACATAAATGCCCCTGAGAAAGCTAAGACTAGAATTTATGCAATGGCATGTATTGGTAGATACTGGCCAGTACACGTACTGCCATGAACAGTTCAATGTATTTCAGTACATGAACTCTAGAACTTTATGTTTTCAAACTATAAGTTTTTTTATACTGGTACATGTAGACGCAGCACATAATGATATAGAAATTTATGTAACAAGATATGGCAGCACTAGGGGTGTCAGTTTCGGATTCCGTTCTCGTGAATCCGATACCCGTGCGGGTTGCCGTTCCTGGGAACCCGGAAACCCACTTGAAAATTTGTTTTCGTAAGCTTTTGACCTTCCTGACTCTTTTAGTTGTATGTTTTATTTCAATTGATACCAAGTCACTATGGTTCCTGGGTTCCCAAGAACTCACTTGAAAGTTTGTTTTCATGAGTTTTTGACCACCTTCATATCTCTAGATACATGTTTCATTTCGTTTTGAACCAAATCACCATGAGTTCCCGGGTTCCATAGAACGAGAATCAGGCGTGGATTCGTGTTCTCGAGAACCCGAAAACCCATAATGATCTACTACAAATACAACTAGTAGATATATCTAGAGGTCTGATGATGGCCGAAAACTCATAGAAACAAATTTTCAAGTGAGTTCCCGGGTTCCCGCGAACCCATAGTGACCTGGTATAAAATCAAATGAAACATATGTCTAGAAGTGTCAGAAAGGTCAAAGCTTATAGAAATGAATTTTCAAGTGGGTCCGCGTTTCTTAGGAACTGAATCCAAGAA